CTACACGGGCGGTGTCCTGACGAACTGCATCTCCGACCAGCTGGACCACGGCGTTGTGCTCGTCGGCTACAATGACAGCAGCAACCCGCCGTACTGGATCATTAAGAACTCGTGGGGCGCGGACTGGGGCGAGGGGGGTTACATCCGCATACAGAAGGGCACGAACCAGTGCCTCGTCAATAACTACGCCTGCTCGGCGGTGGTTGGTGGTCCCGCACCCACCCCCGACCCAAGCACGACGACGACGACAAGTGCTCCGGGGCCGTCCCTCCTCGTGCAGCAGCTCTGCTGGGGCCCTGAGTGCGCCACGGGGTGCGTGAACATGTCGTTCCCAACCGGCCGGTGCGTCCAGACCTCCAGCGGAGTTTCTGCTATTCTCACGTGCGATGCCACGTCCGTCGTCGAGAAGCTCTTCCCGCTGAGCTCGGACTGCACCGGCCTGGCGCTGCCAGTCCGCGTGCCGCTCAACAAGTGCTTGTCGTTTTTTGTCGGCTCCGTCCAGTTCCTTTGCGGCTCCAGCGCCACTGGCCAACCGGTTGAGGTGGACAAACTAAGTCGCTACCAGGCATACCAAGGCCACCATCGCCGCCTCTGAGGAAACTCTTTTGTTTCCGATGTTTTATTTCGCACGTTTTCATTTAATTATTTTTGTTTACTATTTGGCGGGCGGCATTGCGGCGCGGGCTGGGCGAAAGTGTCCCAGCGGAGGAGGGGGTGGGTTTTCTGAGACGTTTTACGGCTTTTTTTGTTTGTTGTTGTTGTTTTTTTTTTTTTGGTTGTTCTGTGTGCATGACGGGGAATGTGTGCGCGATTGCCGGCCCAGCCACGCGTGTGTCTTTCTATTTTGCTTGCTTCAAGCGCCTGCACGTTTCTCGTTGCGGCCCCGCTGCGACTGCCACGCGGCCATGCGGGGCGGAGTGGCGTGGCGGCGTCCCTCCACTTGCGGCACGCGGGGCCCTGCGTGCATGTTTTTGCTCCTCTAACCCTGACACCCGCGCCCCACCCCGCACTGTGAAGGTGAATCCACGGAAGGCTAGCAAGAAGATAAACCCACTCACACAGGCAGCAATGACGGGCCCGGCGCGGACGCTGTCGCTCGTGGCCGTTCTGGTCGTCGTGTTGTGTCTCCTCCCCGCGGCGATGGCGAGTCTGCAGGTGGAGGAGACGCTGGCGTCGCATTTTGCGGCGTTCAAGCAGAGGCACGGCAAGGTGTACAGGAGCGCCGCCGAGGAGGCGTTCCGCCTGGGTGTGTTCAAGGAGAACCTGCTCCTTGCGAGGTTGCACGCCGCGGCAAACCCACACGCGAGCTTTGGCGTCACGCCCTTCTCGGACCTTACGCGCGAGGAGTTCCGGTCCCGCTACCACAACGCCGCGGCGCACTTCGCAGCGGCGCAGAAGCGCGCGCGGGTGCCGGTGGAGGTGGAGGTTGGAGGGGCCCCCGCGGCGGTGGATTGGCGCGCGCGAGGCGCCGTGACAGCCGTCAAGGACCAGGGCGAGTGCGGCTCCTGTTGGGCCTTCTCCACCATCGGCAACATCGAGGGCCAGTGGCACCTCGCCGGCAACCCGCTAACAAGCCTGTCGGAGCAGATGCTCGTGTCGTGCGACAACGCGGACAATGGCTGCGATGGTGGCCTGATGGACAACGCCTTTGACTGGATTGTCGGGAAGAATAACGGCACTGTGTACACGGAGGCGAGCTACTCCTACGTGTCAGGTGGTGGAAACTCGCAGAAGTGCGACATGTCCGGCCACGTGGTGGGCGCCGTCATCTCTGGTCATGTTGACTTGCCGAAGGACGAGGACAAAATGGCCGCCTGGCTTGCTGCCAACGGCCCGCTCGCCATTGCTGTCGACGCCACCAGCTTCATGTCCTACACGGGCGGTGTCCTGACGAACTGCATCTCCGACCAGCTGGACCACGGCGTTGTGCTCGTCGGCTACAATGACAGCAGCAACCCGCCGTACTGGATCATTAAGAACTCGTGGGGCGCGGACTGGGGCGAGGGGGGTTACATCCGCATACAGAAGGGCACGAACCAGTGCCTCGTCAATAACTACGCCTGCTCGGCGGTGGTTGGTGGTCCCGCGCCCACCCCCGACCCAAGCACGACGACGACGACAAGTGCTCCGGGGCCGTCCCTCCTCGTGCAGCAGCTCTGCTGGGGCCCTGAGTGCGCCACGGGGTGCGTGAACATGTCGTTCCCAACCGGCCGGTGCGTCCAGACCTCCAGCGGAGTTTCTGCTATTCTCACGTGCGATGCCACGTCCGTCGTCGAGAAGCTCTTCCCGCTGAGCTCGGACTGCACCGGCCTGGCGCTGCCAGTCCGCGTGCCGCTCAACAAGTGCTTGTCGTTTTTTGTCGGCTCCGTCCAGTCCC